ACACATTTTCATTGCTTACCTCAAAGCCTATTAGCAGGCTGGTGCAGGCTTCGCTCAATCCGCTTTTGGCGAACTGAACCTTCTCAATCACCGTACTCATGAGAGTACGGTGCTCGTCGTCGATGGAAGCGCCCCGAAGCACTTCCAACAACTTATCTGATGCCTATGGCTGGGCGGAGGTCATCGACACGGCCGGCTCGCTCTCCTTTGCGAGGGGCTGCCTTCTGGAATCCGGAACCTTTGGAGGCTCCGGCGCAGTAACCGGCTGGGAGCCAGGCTTGCTCTAGCTCCCATCTTCACAATTCATGGGGGTCTTACCCCCATGTGTCCGGATCCCGGGATTTTGCCTTGGGGTGTCACCGGAACCATCGCCTCCTGCTCTGGCATCCTCCGGGACAACACCTCGGTGTCATCCGCAGGTCGTGGGGAGGTGGCCGTCGGGAGTGAATTCATCTCCGACTCATCTAGAGACTCCTCCGAAGAGGACACCGTGAGATTGCCCGGCCGGACTGCATATACGTGTTCGGCGTCATTACGAACCATGAGGTCAAAGTCGCACGGAAAAGTATTATGGAATGCGGATACTTATGACCTCGCCCGGGGTTTGCCCCTGGGCAGCCACTCCTCGTCGCTGTAAGCGGCGGTAGTGGAGTGATCTGGAAGGGACACCTTTCCCTTCTTCAGCGTCCCGGCCTCCCCCGACGATGTGGCCTTCCTTTTCTTCTCCTCCCTAGTACGGGGAGGGGGCATTTCTTCGTGTCCCCCCCCCATCCTCAGGGGGGAATCTTCTTGGTCATCTTCGGATGATGACTCTATCACGGCCCTGTGCCGGAGACTTTTTCTGGTCCCGGCGGCCGCCTTCTTGGACCCTTCGGCCCCCTCAGTTGAGGCGGCCTTCCTCTTCCTCTCCTCCCCTTCATGGGAGGAGTGCGCCTCGTCCTCTTCTGGCGAGGCATCGGGTGCTGCCTCGCGCCGAAGACCCTTCCGGGTCCCCGTGGTCTTCTTTTCGGCCTTTTTCTCCGGCACCTTGTAAGACGCCGGAACCAGCATCTCCGCTAGGATTGCGTCTACTGGGTCCTCGGGCAATGGAGCCGGACAGTCAATCCGCTCCGCCATCTCCACCCAATCCTGTTCGGTCAGCATGGTGACTTCAAAAACCCTCCCACAAATATACTGGGAAAGGAGCATCTTGTGATAATCAGAGGACTTACCGGATTGGCAAGGCGCGTTGCGCTGAGCCCACGGTCCTCAGAAAGGGGAGGAGGAACTTCGCCGGTCTTGAACAGCACCTTCCAGATTTCTTTGTGCATTGTGTCAAAGAGCTCCAGCAGCATCTGGTGTTCGGCCGGGTCAAACTCCCACATATCAAATGCTCGTCTCTAACACGGGAGAATCCGGCGAATGAGCATGACTTGGACCACATTGACAAGCTCGATCTTCTTGTCCTTCATACTCCTGATGCAAGTCTCGAGTCCGGTCAGCTTCGTGGGTTCGCCCCAGGCCAGGCCCTTCTTCTCCCAAGAAGCGAGCCGCATGGGGATTCCGGATCTGAATTTGGGGGCCGCCACCCAGTTGGCGTCACGCGGCTCGGTGATGTAGAACCACCCTTATTGCCACCCTTTTATGGTCTCCACGAAGGAGCCATCGAGCCATGTGACGTTGGGCATCTTGCCCACCATGGCGCCTCCGCACTCCGCCTGTTGGCCACTCACGATCTTCGGCTTCACGCAGAAGATTTTCAACCACAGGCCGAAGTGGGGCTTGATGCGAAGGAAGGCCTCGCACACGATGATGAACGCCGAGATGTTGAGGACGAAATTCGGGGCCAGATCGTGAAAATCTAGCCCGTAGTAGTACATGATCCCGCGGACAAACGGGTGGAGCGGAAATCCTAGTCCGCGGACGAAATGAGGGAGAAGTACTACTCTCTCCCGAGACTTCAAAGTAGGGGTAATCTGTCCCTCTGCCGGAAGCCTGTGCACGATGCTCTCGGCCAGGTATCCGGCCTCCCGAAGCTTGGTGATGTTCTCCTCTGTGACAGAGGAGGCCATCCACTTGCCCCCGCTCCGCTGCGGTCCAACGGAGAAGGTGAGAACTTGGGCGCTGGAGTTCGAGGGTGCGAACGGATGAGCAAAGGAGGAAGAAGGCGTGGGTGAAAACGGGAGATCTCTGTCCCTTTATAAAGGCGATGCAGAATGTGCGCCTCCCCACTTGCCTCTCGAAATCTCTTATTTTTCCAAGTGCCTCGATTGATGGCGCTGGTTGGGTTACCCATGCCCGTCTTGATGGAGATCCCGCAATAAGGGGGCATGATCTCTACTTTGATAAGACGTGCCAAAGAAACCGCCTCGCAATATGTGCGGAAGTAGGTTGTAGAAAACGGTTCGAGTAATTGCCGAGCCGTGGCGTGATGTCACACTACGAAGAGCTGTCAGCAGATTAGATTCGTGGATTATTATTCTCTCTACGACGGTATATGGAATTTATCTTGGAGAGGCGGACACGTTCCTTGTGTTCGGAATTTATCTTGGAGTATTCGGAGATGGAACCCACCTCGCAATGCCGACGACAATCTACGCGCCGAACTCATCGTCATTGAAGCCTGGTTCAGGGGCTACTGAGGGAGTCCTGGATAAGGGGGTATCCGTACTGTCGGACTATATACTTTGGCCGGACTGTTGGACTATGAAGATACAAGATTGAAAGACTTCGTCCCGTGTCCGGATGAGGCTCTCCTTGGCATGGAAGGCAAGCTTGGCGATTCGGATGTAGATCTCCTTCTCTGTAAACCGACTCTGTGTAACCCTAGCCCCCTCGGTTGTCTATATAAACCGGAGGGTTTAGTCCATAGGACTCAAGATCAACAACAATCATACCATAGGCTAGCTTCTAGGGTTTAGCCTCTCCGATCTCGTGGTAGATCAACTCTTGTAATACTCATATCATCAAGATCAATCAAGCAGGAAGTAGGGTATTACCTCCATAGAGAGGGCCCGAACCTGGGTAAACATCGTGTCCCCAGCCTCCTGTTACCATTAGCCTTAGACGCACAGTTCGGGACCCCTACCCGAGATCCGCCGATTTTGACAGCGACACTAGGTACCTCTGTCTCCGGCCGGCCCCGTCATCGGTCCGCCTCGTCTCCGGTGGCCTTAGGACCATGGCGGCGCGGTGGATCCCGGCCCTTGCCGGCGGGAGGGCTCCGTCCTTAGATGTTTCTTCAAGTTTTGTTAGGGTAATTTGTGTCCTATTCAGGAAGACGAGACGACGACGGCTTTCTGAAGATGCAATAAAGTTCTCTCGCCTAGTCCCTGTTTCGGTGGTGCATCTAGCATCGTGATGGGTGTGTGGAGGTGTGTCTCTGGTGGATCTGTCATTGGTGGATTTGCTTAGATCTTGTCGTAGTTCGTCTATGTTTGCGTGTCTTCAGGTTGGATCCTTCCGATCTATGCTACTCTTCAACGACGCATTTGTTGTTCTGGTGTGCTGGTCCTATGGGGCCTTAGCACGATGACTTCCTGACTGTCTAATACAACAAGGTTTGCCCGGCTCCAGCGAGGGAGGGGCGACGACGGTGGCTCGCCTTCGGCTCGCTTCAGTGCTTGTAGTCATGCTAGGTGGTCTATGGATCTCAATATAATTTTTTATTATTTTTAGTGTTCATTGTAATACCATGTTTGAAGATAAATATATTGGAAGTTTTTCAAAAAAAAACAACTTTATTATTGCCTCTAAAGCATATTTTTGGCAGGGATGGGAAAGCTTCTCACTCCTATGTTGCATGTACAAGTGGTGAAGTGGTGGACGGCTACGACCGAGTCAGCCCTGAAGGGTCTCAGGAAAGAGGTGAATGGCCTCATCATCTTGGTCATGCACTCCATTTGGAAAGAGCGAAACCTTCCTGTGTTCCACAAGGTTACTAAGACGAGAAGTTGGCTTTGGTCTCAAATTTGGGATGAGTGGAGGTTATGGCAATTGGTACGGCAACGGAAGAATCTCAGCCGTGGTACGGTGGGTAGTCGGGAGTAGTTGTGCTAGCCGTGTTTGGTGGATTGTGGTGCCTCGCAGGGACAGAGCCAGGCTAACACAGCGCCCCGAGCCTGCTTCACAGCTACATTGTTCAACAGTGCTCAACAGTTCAAAATCGCTAAGTCACCGAAGAAACAAATCCTCATGCCCTATTTTTGGCAGGGATGGGAAAGCTTCTCACTCCTATGTTGCATGTACAAGTGGTGAAGTGGTGGACGGCTACGAGCGAGTCAGCGCTGAAGGGTCGCAGGAAAGAGGTGAATGGCCTCATCATCTTGGTCATGCACTCCATTTGGAAAGAGCGAAACCGTCCTGTGTTCCACAAGGTTACTAAGATGAGAAGCTGGCTTTGGTCTCAAATTTGGGATGAGTGGAGGTTATGGCAACTGGTACAGCAACGGAAGAATCTCAGCCGTGGAACGGTGGGTAGTCGGGAGTAGTTGTGCTAGCCGTGTTTGGTGGATTGTGGTGCCTCGCAGGGACGGAGCCAGGCTAACACAGCGCCCCGAGCCTGCTTCATAGCTACATTGTTCAACAGTGCTCAACAG